AAGTGTAATAAACAATAATTATTTTTATTTTTATTGATAATGAAAATGAAATACATAATTTAGAACTGAAAAAAAATGAAATTATTTTATTATTTTGCAAAAATCAATAGTTTAAATTTTGGGTCAAATGTGTTAATATTTAATGTCATAAATAAATAATAAAAATTAATAAAATATAAAAATACAAAAATGAAAAAATACATAAGTAAGTGTTCCATATCAAAATTATTTCTACACACAGAAATACCATAAAAAAACATAGAAAAAATTGAACACATCTATAATCATATATTTACACTACTATTAGAAATATGGATAATATTGTGGACCTTTCTTTTGAATAAAATACTCATTTGTGGATTTAGTCCCTATTTAATTGTGACATTTAAATTGTAAATTGAACTACTACTATTCACATCATTCATCTCTATTTAAACCTTACATTTTTTTTGATAAATGAACAAAAAAAGATACACCAAAAAGACAAAACATTACAAAAAAAAGAATCTAGCGAAGTAGGTAGGCCTATTAATGATACTTGAAATTTTACAACTTGATCCAATTATCACATATTTGGATGATATGTTTATGTAATTATATTTCGATTTTGCAATTTGCATTTGATTAATAATAAAATAAAAAATAAAAAATACATATTCATAAAAAATTGTGGATACATTAAATTTCTTAAACTACCCTTATGGTTTAGCTAATTGACTAACTCTACCCTTACTGTTTGAAAATTGACTAAGTGTACCCTTACTGTTTCTAACAATTGATTAACTGTACCCTTAACCGTTAAATATGGACGAAAAAGGTAAAATGCCCATTATACCCCTATGCAAAATTACATTTTTATCCATGTCTTTAACTTTAACTCAATCCCTCTTAGACAGGTTGCCATCGCCATCATCATCGTCACCGACGGCGGTCGCTACAAATACCGAATGGCAGAGGTCCGCCGGAGGTCGGTGAGATTTTTTCTCCTCTATTATTCATTCAAAGTCATTTCTTCCTCTGTATCCGACTCCTCATCCGATGCGACCAAACTCTCTCGCACTCCGTTAATGCCACAGTTCTCAATTGCGTTTTCACAATCCCGTGGTGACAAAATCCCATAAACATCCAATCTCGGCCGTTCCCGACAATTTTCCTGTGGTATGGAAACTCCAACAGCAAACTTAAACCGCTAGATCTCCATCCTCTGGCGCCATTGTTTCGCTTTTACTGACAACTCCACACTTATTAGTACTTTGTAAATGCATAGATACAAATAAAAGGTATGCATAGAAATATTTGGATACACTAGGGAAATGCACACAAATCACATAACTATATTAATAATACTAAATCTAAAACTGAATTATCAATGGATAAAGTATAAATACATGAAAATGCACAGTTTAATAGGTTATATGAAGAGAAACATTATAATCAATAATACTGGAACTTTAGAACATGTGTACATCATATAGGAATTATCACTATTTCAATTTTTATAATTATAATTTTTAATTTTTATTAAAATTTTGGGAAACTTTATTTACTTACTATTTATATATAAATAGAAAATCTATTTTTTCAAATAATAAATATATTTTTATTTTAAGCATTTATTTTATATGTAAAATAAAACATATAAATCATTGAAGATAGATACAATAAATTATTTTTTTATATTTTTTAGTTTTAATTAATTTTTTGGAAAAAAATAAATTTTAAACTATTTATTTCATTTTTTATAATTATAATTTCCATTTTTATTAAATTTAATTAACAATCCAAAAGTGGTACCCCATAGACGAAGTATGATATTGATACTTTTGATCTTACTTTACTGTTGTTTTATACTTTAAGGTAAATTTGCAATCCATAAAAAAGTGTCAACAAGGAATAGAGTCCACAAACTTTTACTTGTTTTTTGCTTTTTATTTAAAAAAATTGAGTAAGAAAAGTAACTGAAAGTAGTGAAGGCCAGGGATGATGATGAGAAAGAAGATACAAAAGAAAGGGTAAATGGGGAAATAAAGTATGTCTTTAATTCTACTGGCGTTTATGAAAAAACACCGCCACATTAATGCCATATAGGCATTGGCGTTTATTGCATATGAAGCAAAATGAAACGACTGTTTGGTTTCACCGTTAATCAAATAAACGGTAAAAAACTGAAACATTTTGGTTTTTGTGCATGGGGCATTTGGGGAAACGCCAAATTCTTGTTTTCCCCAACGCCCCAGCGTTTTTTTAAACCAAATGTTGATGTGTCAAATTCTAACGGGTATTAATCTGAGGTGGAGAATAAAAAATGTTTAAAGTGAATCCCAATCAAACAACAAAAACAGAAAATGTTTAAAGTGAAAAAGTATAAATAAACGTTTAAAGTGAAAAATCACAAATAAATGACCACCCATAAACGTAAACAAAACCAAACACCCTCTAAATAAATGGTGTCTGTACTGTACTATGGAAGAGGCAAAATAGATGGCATGGTGGCAATGTCCAGGTGGGAGAGATTAATCCGTTAGTTTAAAAGGCCACTTTCGATGGCCTTATTTGGCTTAAGTTGATACATCATTTCGAGCATGAATTCAAAGGTGACTTTGAATTAGACTTTAAGTCGCAATGACTAATTTCATTAAGAATGCTCAGAATCTCAAATACAATCCCTGAGAGTACAATCAGCAATAGTAGACAAAAAAAATGAAAAGCTAAACCCAAACCAAATTACTGATAAAGAAACAAACCCTGAGCCCCAGGAGAAGTTCTTATAAATACTCTGCAAACAGCGCAAAAAGATGGAAACGCCAATAAAGGAGGACCGACCTCTAACAGAGTCAAAACTCAACAAAGAACTCCCGAAAAACGAGGATACACATAAAAAGGATAGCCAAAGTCACCCCCTTCCATGGCAATCACAACTAAAAAACATCAGACTTGATAGGTGAAATGGAGAATGCCAATCATTGTCTCACCAGGCTTGGAGGTAACAGACATCTTGCAAATGTAAACTCCATCCCATAGGAAAGTTTTATTAAAATAGTTGGCAAACCATCCCCAGGCACGAGACAAGAAAAAGGCAGTCCCTTCCAAAGTTTAAAATCATCCATAAGTGCCACATCCCCACTAAGTGATGGTGGTCCGAAAAAAGTGCCAAAATGGGCTCCTCTGATAACTGAAAGGCTGGACAATGTTGGAGATTAAACGGAAAAGATTGGGCTGCATCGGAAAAATTTATGCCAGAACAAAGAATATTCCTCCTCGCCGAAGAACAATTCTCTGGAATACACCACACCAGAATGCATCCCATGGAAGAAGATACTCCCAAAAATAATGTCATCAGTAAAAGCATCCACATATATCTCCCTAGAACAAATGTCACCGTACAGGTCGATGTTAGTAACGACAACATCTTCAACCTTTTTGAAATCAAAGCCATTGAAGAACAATTGGTAGAGGAAGAACCACTTCTCAGAACAAAGACGGAGCCATCGTATCCAATCCATGCATGAAGAAACCAATGGAAAAATACAACAATCAACTAACAAAAGAAACACACCAAAAAAAAACTCCACCATATCCATCAAAAACCTGTTGTAATAGAGGAAAAAAATGCATTTGTGGGAGGAAGACTTGCATCAAGCGACAAGAGGGATACTCGCATCAGGCGATGCGAGAGGGAGACCCCTCCCAGACAGGGATGGAAGAGTTATAGAAGTTACAATTATATATATTTTTGTTTGTCTCAATAAATAATTTATTTAGGTAAATACATTTATCAGGGCAAATGTTTCTTGGGAAATACTTATTCAGATAAAAATATTATCCATCTTCTTTTATGTCCTACATAAAGGTGTATAATGACCAATTTATCCAAAAAATGGCATTATTGAATATCATGGATTAGTGATTTTTTGGCATGCGTGGGCAAGTAATTTGTCCAAATCTGTTGAGAGTATTACTTTTTCAGGTAAATGAACTATTCTAGAATCATTTTTTTCTACAAGACCCATTAGTACAAAAAAAATGAAGATACATGAGTTTATTTCTTTTCTGTGGAACCTATCAACTTATTTGCCTCTACTTCTTAGAAAACCAAAACGACTATAGGATAGATTGTTTTTTTTATTGGTAATCATCATAGGGTAGATTGTTGAAGTATGTATGGGCATTAATTCGCTAAATGTTTGTATTTGATTTTTTTATAAAATTGAGAAAAACAATTTCATTTATTAATATTTAAGCACCATTAGACACCACAGTGAATAAATGGTTACCCGTTTAGGCGTGCACATAAATCAAGACTTACTTTTGTAAGTCTTTGTATACATAATGGAAAAAAATGCTGAAATAACGTCTATATGACAGCGTTTATTCAATAAATACACGATTCCAAACACTGTTCATTGGACACCCATATGACAGCGTTTATTCATTAAGCGCATATATGACAGCCTTTATCCTCCCCTTAACTTTTTGACTAATGGTCTAAGTTTCAACCCTCATCCAAAGGATATGAGAGGTCACCGTAATTCTCCACGTGTAGAACGTATATGCATGGGCGTGGTAACACAAACAAATCCGTTGGATGTCAATTTCTAAGTTGTTTGATTTTATTTAATCCACCTACACTATTATTCGAGTTTAGTGTCATTAAAGCTTTCAACTAACGACCACGTAATCAGTTTCAATTATCGGATTTAGGGAAAAAAACCAAGCATTTAATAGCGTGTTTTAAAGGACTCCTGCGTAAAAATTTCAGGGAGCTAAGCTAAATTTTTTTTCTTTTTAGGTTCAGTTTAGGAGTATAAATATAAATATATACAAAATAATATAAATTACAACAGTTTCTACATATTTATATTTAATGGTGACTTAAACAAAACAACAGATACAGGAGACAAGGTTTTGCACTCTACATGTTTGTATTTGAGACTTATTAATCGTGGCTGTTGCAACCTTTTGTGGATACTCTCCTATATATATATATATATATATATATGCAGTGCATGGAGCTGGAGCTCTGAGCACATTTAAAAGTTTCTTTCTCTCGTGTATGTTGTTCAGGTAGCCATGGATACGATCCACAAGTTATTGAACTTTGTGGCTCCTCCTTTGGCTCTTGTCGCTCTATGTCTCACCTTACCCTTGTTATACATATGCAAGATTATTAGTTACATCCTAAGATCCATCTCTACCGAAGACTTGACCGGAAAAGTAGTTATCATCACCGGCGCTTCTTCTGGCATCGGCGAGGTTCATGCCAATAATCCTGATTGATTTGTTAGCAACCCATTATTCCTGTCTGCATTTTGGCTTTTTATTGCATTGAATATTCTAACTATATATGCTTGGTCTAAATATTGATTAAACAGCACTTAGCTTATGAGTACGGGAGGAGAGGAGCCCGTCTGGTCCTGGTTGCCAGAAGGGAGAACAGCCTTAGGGAAGTTGCGAAGAAAGCCGGACAACTCGGCTCCCCGGATGTTTTAGTTGTTCGAGCAGACGTTTCCAAGGTCGAGGACTGTAAGCGTTTTATTCAAGAAGCAGTGAACCACTTCGGACGAAGTAAGTGCTAACATTATATATATTAGAAGTTGAGAAGAAGAAGAAGAAGAAGAAGAATATAAACTTAATAGTCCTTCATGTGATTGTTAATGATATGTAACCCTTGGAGGTTCTTGCTAATTAATGACTTGCAGTCGATCATCTGATTTGTAATGCTGGGATCACTTGCGCCTGCATATTCGAAGACGCATTGGATGTTACCAATTTTAGAACTGTGATGGTAATATTAATTCCATTGTCCGCCCATCAACAATATAACTAGTGCTTGCTCATTGCTCATATAACATGTCTTTAATCCAAGGGGTTTGGTGCCTTTGGTTTGTCTACAGGATATTAATTTCTGGGGTTCCATTTATTCAACCTATTTCGCAATTCCTCACCTCAGAAAGAGCAAAGGAAAGATCATCGTGATTTCTTCGTCAGCTGGGTCGTTTGTCTCACCAATGATGAGCTTGTATGGTGTAAGGAGATTCAAACACAGATCCTCACTCAGTCCTCGTCCCCGTCAAATCCAGCTTGTTTATGTTTCTTTCCATGATTAATAATTAATTGTTTTTCTACTCTTTGGCAACTCAGTAGTTGTTCTATATATGTTTTGATGCCTTTTCAGGCCAGCAAAGCAGCAATGATAAACTTCTATGAGACACTGAGAGTGGAATTAGGACAGGAAGTTAAAGTGACGCTGGTAACTCCTGGATTTGTAGAATCAGAGATGACCCAAGGAAAACACCTTTCCAAAGGAGGTTCTCTCGAAGTAGATGCGGAACTGAGAGATGTAAGATGTTCTTGAAACTAGTATTTGTGTTTGTTAAAACAACAGTTTGTGCTTATTAACCGGCCGGTTGAGTTATTTTAATATAACCAATAAACTAGCAGTATTCAGATAGGGTTGTTGGGCATGTATGAATATATGTAGGTTGCAATCGGAGCAGTTCCAGTTCTGAGTGTAAGTGAATGCACAAAATCAATAGTGAATGGAGCATGTCGGGGAGACAGATACGTGACGGAGCCATCGTGGTTTGGACTGTTGTTCGTCTTCCAATTCTGCTGCCCGGAGCTGGTCGAATGGTTTTGTCGCATGCTCTACGGGACCAAACCAGGCGCCTCCAACAGGGAAACTCTTAGCAGGAAGCTCTTAGATGTTGTGGGAGCCAAGAAGTTCTTTTATCCATCTTCCATTCATTCATCTCAGATTAAGAAAGACTGAGGCCCCGTTTGGTTCGTGGGAATAAATGTGGTGGTCATTGTTTTGTCTTGTGTACGGTAAATTAATATCATCATAGACTAGCCTAGCATGACAATCTCGCGCGGTCACATTGAGTCATTAAACCTTTTATTTTTTTGTTTACTTTTTTGAATCATGTTATTTATGTTGCAACTGTACCAAAACCTATTTTTACCTTTATATCTTCTACCTACCTCGAAGATATACAGTATAACTATTTTTTGTTGTTTTATATATTACATAGTTTACATTAAAGGAAATTAAATCAGGCCAGCTGACCATGCCACGGCCCACGGGGAACCTGTGGACTGTGGTTTCACGGGTTTGACCCTGCACCTCCTCCTTTGGAGGTTTTATAGTGATGGATACACCAATATTAATATTTCCGACAAATGGACCTAACTATATACAACTGTATTGCATGTACAATTTTGCCCTAACCAATCTGAAATGAACAGGCCAATATTTTATACACATGTACATGACAGCTTTCAAAGCTGTTCTATTTAATAATACATCATTATCATTATTTGTAGGTGTCAGCAGTTCAACCCTCAACTTGGTTAGGGGTGGTTGATAGAGAGACCTTACCTGGAATCCAATGCCCTTGTGTGAAGTCGGGATCCTTTGCAAAGATGTTCTCAATGTGTGTGTGCCAAATTCATACAGAGAGATGTTCTCAATGTGTGTCAAAATTCCCATGTTTACTTACTGCAGAGTGTATTCAGAGCTTTTGTTTGCAGAGAATCCCGTGGCCCTCTTGTGTGGTACTGTGGCCTCTTTATTTTCCATTTGAAAAAAGTTGATTATGAGTTGAGGGCACATTCTTTCTATATATGAAAATTAAGGTTGGTTATTCGTGGGAAGGGTCTGTTGCTTATGACGAGCTAATGCTCCATAATTCCATATTCATGGGCGTACGCATATTTTATTCCAAAATCAATTATCCATGTGGCAACTCTGAAATGACTTATATACAAGTTTTTGGATTATTTTAATTTGTGATTCCAACTTACTTCTGTAGTAGATTTATATTGTGAATTAAGTGGAATAGTGAGTGATATATGACTATATATGCAGAAATGTTGTGACAGTCCTTGATACCATTATTGGGTCCTGTCGCCTCACATCCATTATTACGGTCCAACCGAACAATTAAGCGCTGAGAAAACCATAGCATGGGTGGGATGTTTCCACTGACTTGTGCCCCCAAAACGTTCCACACCATTAAAAGACGCCGCCGCGTGTCCTCCTACACGCATGCGCCTCAACCTCGTGCGGAGTTAATGGGACGAAAAAGTAAGTTTCCCTTAACGCCATCTTCATTCCATGGTTAAACTCAAATCAGTGAATTTAGAGTGGAGTATTGCAGGAGGAAGAGATAACATATTCGAGAATATCTTCCGGCGATTCTTCCCTTCTGCGTTTTTCTATTGTATAAAAAAGTTAAAAAACTGAAAAGAAAAAATATTTGAGTATCTGAAATGAGAGGGATGGAGAGTTCTGGTGTATCTGCCGGAATGATCATCGGGGTCAGATTTTTCAGCAAGATCCGGCGGGGGACTATTTTGGGGATAGGACAGTCTGAGTTTCGTAACCAGAGGGTTGGAACATTCATTTAACTCTGCATGGGTGTGAGAGGACACGCGGCCTCTTCTGATAGTGTGGGACTATTTTGGGGGGCAAGTCGTTGGAGGACAGATTCGAACCCGTTGGGGGACCACTTCCAAAACAGCACATTTAATTTAGGCAATTGGGAGTTCAGATGGATGGGACAACTCGGCTATTGGCATATCTAATCCACTGGGTTAAAAGGAAACAAACAAACAAACAAAGGCCTTGGATTGAATTATCCCCCATTTCTGCGTCATATAAAGGTGGAATAAGGGCTCCGTTAGAAATTAAACCTGAAAAAGTGACAGGGTAGGTTGGAGTTGGTTGGCATAATTTAATTTCAACTGTTTTCTTTTTTTATTAAAGATTCATTTTATTTTATTATTTTTAAAGATTTCACCATGGTTTTCCTTTACGTTTTAGGGCCCACGTTTACCAAATGAACACCTGATTTATCATCTACAAGATTGCAACAATCATAGCTTCTTAATTCAAATGTTCATGTTTCTTCAACAACTGTTATTTCGTTGTTTCTATACAAAAAAAAAAAATCCTGTTTATTCAAAAGCCAATAAAGATATCTATTCTGATTTGTGAATAAGAAAAGAAAAAAATTAAACAAACATATTAACAAATAAAAATTAAAGTTTAAATCTCCTTGTTTCTAGCACTTTTTCCAAACAACAAATTCATATAACTTCAATTCATGTTCTTACAAATAGCATATCACACAAACTAAATCCATATAATTTCATGTTCATTCTTGAATTCACCGACAAGATGGAATGTTCCAATTCCCAAATTCCAAGTCATCCTAAAAAAGAAAATAAGAGATAAATTCATTGCCCTTATCATATATATAATTTGTTATCATGTCAAATAACAAACAAATAACTAAAAGATATGTTAGTATAATACCTAAAACACACTACAGGAAAATTGACTTTTCAACGGTAGTCAAAATTGCCACTACCATGTCAAATAACAAACAAATAAAAGATATGTTAGTATAATACCTAAAACACACTAGAGCCAACTACGTATATTAACTAAAAAAACTTTGAAAATACAATTTGAACTAGTTTTCTACCCTCATTCAAAAGGGTTCAGTAATATGTCCACCTTAAAACAGAAAATGTTTAAAATGGGTAACCAAACGCTTCTAAATGAGCATAGCCAATTAGAGGAACTAATCACAGAAGCCATATAAAGGATGCAAATAAAATATTAAATGCAAAGAGAAGACAATGAACATAATTTCTCTCATAATACTCAAAAATAATAATATCACTAGCGGAGTGGAATTGTGGAAATAATTTAATAAAATGATAAAACAAAAACTATGTGCTTGAAAAAGGTGAGGGAAAAATTTAACAATTTCAATAAAATGATAAAAAATATCAAAGTTTTTATCATTTAGTTGGTGTAAACCCCGTTTGAATAGCTTTAATAACTTTGCTTTGGAAATCTCTCTCCATGAAATAAAGCATAGAAGTACGGAGATATTCTAATGCAAGGTTGTTCTAACGACACTTGCACTAACTGGAAGCTAGTCTCATTTTTATCACTATTTTTGTAGTTAAAATTATTTTAAATAATTTTTATTTACCAATAAGATATTTGAATAAAAGCAACCAAAATTAATTATACATTTAAAAAAAAATAGAAACAAGACAGAAAGAGAAAGAATAGAGAAATGTACAAAAGAAAAAAAAAATGTAATACCAAAAGGATACCTAGAATTAATTACTAGTCAATATACCCTTGAAGGTGTTCTCACAGGCTAAAACAGACAAGGCGTTCTTACTTAAATCCCAATAAAGCCCCTGCTCGTTAAATCCCAATAGTCCAAAATTTTAATCACCCTACTTCCATGGTTTCTCTCCTTGCTTCCATACCTATATCATCTTCGTTTCTGATAATTACATGCAACTTACCTTGGACTATTAGAAAAATGGATGGGCATATATTTTTCTTTTTTATG